AAAAATAAATAAATAAATAAAATGGGGACTCCATAAATCTCTGGCAAACACTGATTGGATGTTGTCTATAAAGGGAGAAGCTGTTCTGGACAATTTTGAAAAGAATGTGGACACACGCCTATATTGTTACTGAGTAAAATGTGGTATGGGCTCAAAGACAAAAGATGCTAGGCGCCACCAAAAGACAATTCCAAAAAACAAAACAAAACAAAAAAGTTCTCTTGATACTGAACTAAGGCCATAAAAGAGTCTGTAGCCTAGGAATCCTAATGGAAAGCATTCTCTTAAAACTTCAAGGCCATGTCATTGCCCAAGACCAGAATGTTTCTCAGTAAGAAACTAAATAACTTAACTTTTACATAGATATTTGATAAAGAAAAATTATAGCCTTGATCATAAGTATTCCTTTAACCACCTCTAATAAGTGGGATATTCTGAAAACACAAGCCAAGCTCTGAACTATTGTCTGAGGCCTGTAGCTTCAGTCAACAATAGTGTATCTCCATCCCAAGTAATAGCCAAAGAATTCAATATGAAAGATTGCCATTCAATCCTATCAAAGTGCAGTCAACAAAACTCATTTGAAAAAAAAAATTAATACTGACCATACTTTCCTCTACATTTTTCATTTCTAACCCTACAAATACTTCACCAGAAAGCGCCATAGTATTAGTTTAATGTCCACTAAAATGTGTTTACTGAGTTAAGGTTTAATGTTATACCCTCAATTTCTGGAAGAAATACAAGAAAGAGCCATGTGAACAATGTTTTTGTATCCTCTGCAAAATGCCTATTGAAGACACTGCTTGTCATCATTCTGGGTTATTTACTGGGTTGTTGGAAAAGTCATGACGCATATTTGCAATGAAAAACATAGAAAAAATACGTCATGACTTTTCCGACAACCCAGTATGTTAAAATTTACATGACAAGTTTCTCTTGGATTGAGAACCAGAAAAAGATTCTCGCCTAAAAAATTGTTATGCTCTTTTTTATCAGATCAAAACTATAATAATTGCTGTGTTTCTTCTTGGAATTTAGTTCAGGTATACTGGTGCTCGAAAAAAGAGCACTAACTTTTAATGCTCAAGTACAACTAT